CAGAGGGTTTGCATAACAACGGATTCACAACAGCTTTTGCGCCTGCGCTCTATTGCTAAGAATCGTCATTATTGTTGCATGTTTTCATTGGTTTGTTGGCCTGTTGGTGATTTCATGAGCAAGAAAAGCAGTCCACGAATTGCTTGCCCAAGCTGAAAACTGTCAAAGGTCTCAATCACCGAAATCACATTTTGAAAGAATATTTTTTAGCATAGACAAAGTATGTTGAAGGTACACGTTAACTAATCAAAGTTAAAATTTCTGAGGATTTTTATTGTTCCGTTAGTTTTTCCCATTCTTGACAAACCTTGTGTGTGTGCATAAGCATTCGTATGTCTCTTGAGAAGGCAATGCCACTTAATGGTGATTCCTACCAACAGCCATACTTTCAAATCAACACCTGCCAAGGTTACTTATTGTCGTCTTAAATTAGATAGCATACCTGGTTAAAGTCACCACTTACCACTGGATTCTACTTTAGCACAATTGCCAGATTGCCAGGCAAGCTTTTGCTTATTTCTAATGTAATAAGTCCCTTGTGTTTGGATGGTTGTAAATGGAACTAGAGGTGTTTTAAAGGAAAACAATTCCAAGATGGTTAGTTATAGAACAGTTCTGTTCACTCACTCTGTTTTTTAGATGTAGCCTAATTGCTATGAAATGAGGCTTCTTTATTTGATCTCTTTTTATTTGACTGAGTTTGAGCGTTTGTCTTTTTTGGCAGTTAAAAATGCTTTGCAATTCACATCTGGTCCCCATGAGAATAGCATTGATGCAGTTTGTACCAGTTTACGAGCACAAATCACACTGTTCACATAAATCTCCAATTAATTTTAGAGGTATGTTTTTTAAAGAACATTGTTTCTAACTGGCCAATGAGGACCAAGCAATGACTCAAATTTCAAACACAAACTGTCATGATATCAGATTTTCACTGAGTGTTGTGTCAAAGAATGAAACGTCTGTTGATTTTAATATGCACTGAGCACTTTTTTGCACTTTATAATAATAAAAGAAGATTGCTAGTATCTCGGCATGTAATCCTTGTGTTTGGATACCAACTAAACGAATTTCAAGAATGGAGATTTTTGCTCTTTGATGGATTCTACTGTTGTGTCAAAGAGCCTGTATTTTTTTACAGAATCCAAAAACTCCCAACCTGGTGAAACTTTCTCCAGGTGTCTCACTTTCGTCTGTCATCTTCAAGTTTTGAGTGGCAGTTGTACCCATAGATTTACAATCCTAAATGCCTCATTAGTGACTGTTTCTATGGGCCGCGATACGTAAGCCATCCGCCATTTTTGGAACGGTCTGCGAACACTCGAGCGCAAGTTGACTGTGTGCGTCTACAACAGCAAGTTATACGCATGTATATCTTTGAATATTCATTGATTATTATGGTGAATGACGGCAAGTTGACCGTTCCAAAATTGCGGACGCGTCAGCGTATCTGGAGCGGTCGAATATGGCATCTATTCTATACATATCTAATGTTGTACCTATGCACTGTGTTGTCTTCTTTTTTATTTCATGAAGGATGGCAACCAACATTAAGGTACCATACTGCCACCTACTGTGTTGGAGTGTCAAGCAGATTATTTACAATATTATCACATAGAATTAACATGATATCAATATTGAATTTTTTAAATTTTCATTGTTGTTGTCAGTACCGGAATATTGCGGTAACTTTAACACAAACTTTCAAGGATTATTATTCACACAGAATCCTCCTGATATCCATCAAGGTGACTATTACACAAGGACACAAGCTCTTATTACCATATATCTGCATGTTATTTCATTTTTCCAGTAACGACTTCATCCAGTTTCCACCTGGTCCACTGCTGCTTTAATCACATGCCCTTCTTGGCTCGCCGTCATAAGTGCCTGTCGAGTTAAAGGTTTAGTACAAGATCTCAGGATGTCTGCAGACTTCAAGAACTTTTGGCTCCTCACAGGAGCTGTCATATAATTTTAAGCAGCAGTCAGGGGCTTCAGGTTGCTTGTCAGAAATGGCAGTAACTTGCTGCTCCAGTAGAGCAGTGTGTCTTGAAGATTCTGACACGCTCAATAGCCATTTAAGAGGATGGAGCTGAAACCTAATGTGGGAATGATAGGGCGGAGATGGACGGTGTCGCTGTTAGATCAGAAGGTGCGGGGAAATGTGATAGACTAAGGCAATGTGATCACAGCCTTTTACGTGTGCTTGGAGTTCTGCATTGATTTGTATGTAACATCAGAGATGGAAATCGTTAAAAGCCAACGAGCGGTCTAGCACAATCAATATGAAGTCACATGGCTGCACACAGGCCCAAGAAGGAGAAATAGAGAGAAAGGTGAGAAATAAAAAATTGAAGCATAATAATTATAATAATTATTATTATTATATAATATTATTATAAATATTAAATAATAATGTTTATTTATTTATTTTGTTCTTTTATTTTATGTATTTATTATCTGATTCAATAATAATAATAACATTATTATTCTTGTTGTCTTATTATTAATATTTAGTTTTTATTTCTTTATTTAATAATGACAATAAACATAATAATAATAATTATTATTATTATTATACTATTTATTTAATTATTTATTTGTTTTGTTCTTTTATTTTATGTATTTATTATTTGTTTCAACAACAATAATAATAATAATAATAACATTGTTGTTGTTGTTGTCTTATTATTAATATTTTGTTTTTATTTCTTAATTTAATAATGACAATAAATTATTATTATTATTATTATTAAAATACCATTTTTATTTATTTGTTTGTTTATTTATTTAATACTAAATATTATTTTGTTATTTTATTTTTATGTATTTATTATTTGTTTCATTATTATTAATAATAATAATAATGGTAATTTTTCAATAAAATTGTAATAAATAATAATAAAATACTGCTGCTCCAGGAAATTGCTTTTAAGTCCTCTACTTTAATGCTATTTAATTGCTATTTTAGTTATAGATATTTAGCTTGTTCATATGTTTAATGTATATTCCCTGCACATTCTTGCATTGTCTTTTTTTTTTAAGTTTGTCTGTACACATGCATGTAGGGATGGGTACCGAAACCCGGTATTTAATCGGTCCCGGGGCTAAATTATGAAAGACCGGAGTATCGATAAGCTCTGACGTTAACGGTTCTGCTATCGGTACTGGAGAAATTAATAAAACACACAGACATTTATTATTGCTATATATACATTATCTTAGAGTAGTAATACCGTTAAAACCTTAACGATACCCATCCCTACATGCATGTCTGTTTATACTAGAAGCATCAAAGCTGAAGGTGTATCACATTCCAAAATAGACGCCTCCGGTGCAGACAGCTATATTGATTATAATGGGAGTGATGATTTATGTTCTGCTCATGTTTGGTGTACACATGGTGTCAGAAACACTCCTGGCATGAGTATATTTTAGAATTATTTATAATTATACAGGGCTTTTTATGACTGACTAGTCATTCAGACAACCCAAATACTAATCAGTTTTATAAATATATAATTTTGCACATCCCTACTTCAAAGGTAGTAATAAAATTTCATTATATTGATTTCTTCATAATTTCCTTGTTTATATGACTGTTAACCAAACAGACGATATATCATCACATGTGAAGTACAGTTCATTAGCTGAAAAGACAAACACATTTTAGCATGCAGGCTGGAGGCACAGGTGCCCGTGTTCAGTGCTGTGCTGTGCTGATTTGGGCCCATTCATATTCATCAAAGCAGAAACATCGTAATCTGCTAAAGCCCCTCCATTAAAACAGCAGTAGCGAGGCACAAATATATGATTTTAAATAAATGCCCAGGAGTTGTTTTACTTCAGGGGGTTTAGCTTTCCTTTAAACTGTATTAAATCTTATTGTGTCTTAATTTATGGCAGAGGAGATGTTGCTTGATGACATTGATTTGCTTCGCTGAAGCCCAACAGGGTGTGTGTGTGTGTGTGTGTGTTTGTTCACTGTTCATCTAGCCCAGAGCATATGCGTATGAATGGAAGTGAATGGAACGTAAGGTCTTCTTTAATCCCCATCTGTCACGATGACAATGCAGCTTGAAGGCAATCCTTGATCATGTTTTGACATTTATGTTCTCCTTGTAAAACTATTAGCTTACACACGCTGCCACTATTGAGCCAGAGATAATGCTTTGAATGTGTGTGTGCTGTCATTAACCAAACTGCTTACAACTCTAGTGATTTTCCGCTCAAAATCAATATTTTCCTCCTTTTTTTTCCAGTTGTCATCAAGGTTATTTTAGTTTGATTTATTTTCTAATTAGCTTTTGTCATCACAAATTTAGCTTAGTTCAGTGTTCAATTTCACTTTGTTCTTATACATACATATACAATACACAACCAAAACTGTTATGAAAAAAGAAAAAGAAATATAGTAGTAATATAATATAATGTAATATAAAAATTTCTGCTCTATTTAGGTTTTAGTGATTTTTAAAATTAGATTTTCTGGCTATATTATGATATGATATAATATATTTTTCTACAAACAAAATACATTTCATGATAAAAGTTTATTTCCTCTAGTTTCAGTTTTTTCTGTTTCAGTGTATTTAGTTTTGAATTTAAGGTTAGTATTAATATAATATAATATAGGAATTTAAATAAAAAAAACTAATATAATTAATAATAAAAATTTATTTTGTCTAGTTTTTTTCTTCAGTATAATTAGTTTCGATTTTATTGTTTGTTTGTTTTTTTTCATGGCAATATAATATAATATAATATAAAAATAGGCTATAATTTCATGATAAAAGATTATTTTTAGTTTTTCTTTTTCAGTATATATGTAGTTTTGATTTTAATTTTATTGTTAACAGTATGCTGATTTAAATTATTTCAACGGATTTAAATACTTTGGTCACTGACTTTGTATACCTTTTTGTTTTTGAGCGGAATTTCTCTTTCTGCTGCTTTTTGCTTGCCACTAACCCGTAGCTATCCGCCGCACAGGTGACTGACCAGCTTCTGTGGGATTTGATGTCACCTTTAGATCGGTTCAACTGAAGATGGAAACACTGGAGTCCGAGCTGACGTGTCCAATCTGCCTGGAATTGTTTGAGGACCCCCTCCTGCTGCCCTGCGCCCACAGCCTGTGCTTCAACTGCGCCCACCGCATCCTGGTCTCGCACTGCTCCAGCACCAAGCCTCTCGAGTCCATCTCCGCCTTCCAGTGCCCCACCTGCCGCTACGTCATCACGCTCAACCAGCGCGGCCTGGAGGGCCTGAAGCGCAATGTGACGCTGCAGAACATCATCGACCGTTTCCAGAAGGCCTCCGTCAGCGGGCCCAACTCCCCCAACGAGAGTCGCCGGCCGCGACCCTACAGCGCCACGCTCGGCGGGAGCACGAGGGGCAGCCCCGCCAGTAGCGCCATGTCCCTAGAGCGTGTCGGCTGCCAGTTCTGTGATCAGGAGCCCCCGCGGGAGGCCGTCAAGACATGCGTGACGTGCGAGGTGTCGTACTGCGACCGCTGTCTGCGGGCCACGCACCCCAATAAGAAGCCCTTCACCAGCCATCGTCTGGTGGAGCCGGTGGCGGACGCTCAGCTGCGTGGGCTGGCCTGCCTGGAGCACGAGAACGAGAAGGTCAACATGTACTGTGTGGTGGACGACCAGCTGATCTGCGCTCTCTGCAAGCTGGTGGGACGGCACCGCGAGCATCAGGTCACCTCGCTTAGCGATCGCTTCGACAAGCTCAAGGTGAGTCCTGAACTTGATTCTTAAGGCAAGACACCCCAGGTAAGAAAAAAAATTAACTAATAGATATAACCATGCTTCCCCATTTGAGTTGCAATTTTCTTAGTGTTACAAGTTTTCTGTAATGTAGTTTTTAAATATGCAAATGAGGCATTGTCTAATTAAAGGAATAGTTCACGCAAAAATGAAAATTTGCTGTAAATTTACTCCTCCTCAGGCCATCCACGATGTTTTTTCATCACATTGCATCACTTGCTCACCAATGGATCCTCTGCAGTGAATGGGTGCCGTCAGAAGGAGAGTCCAAACAGCTGATAAAAACATCACAATAATCCACAAGTAATCCACACCACTCCAGTCCATCAGTTAACATCTTATGAAGTGAAAAGATGAAGTGTGTTTGTAAGGAACAAATTCATCATTAAGACGTTTTTTTAAACCTCAAACCATTGTTTACGGCAAAAATTTGAATCCTCAGTCCATAATATTGTGTTCTCCAGTGAAAAAGTAATCTCGTCTAAATCAGGAGAGAAATGTGCACAGATCAAGCACCATTTGCATGCCAAAACAGTCTAAAACCGTTTTAAACAAATATGTTGGTGGATTTTGATGTGAGAGGACAACAGAGGATGGTCTTTTTTGCTGGAGGAAGTATTTTTTTGGATTTTGGCCCAGAAGCGACGATTTAAAGTTAAAACACCTTTGTTTCTTATTTGTTTCTTACAAACTTGCAGCTTTTCAAGACATTAATTGATGGACTGAAGTCGTGTGGATTATTGTGATGTTTTTTTCAGCTGTTTGGACTCTCATTATGATGGCACACATTCACTGCAGAGGAGCCATTGGTGAGCAAGTTATGTGATGCTACATTTCTCAAAATCTGTTCTGATGAAGAAACAAACTCATTTAAATCTTGGATGGCCTGAGGTTCAGTAAATGTTCAGCAAATTTTCACTTTTGGTTGAACTTTTCATTTAAATATGCACTAATTTGCATACATTTTCAGAACAGAAATCTAAACATTGGATAAAGCGAGGTTCATTTCATTTTGTTTCATTTTGTTTTGTTTTTACAGCTGGGATTTTTTATATCTTTTCTTTTTCACTCCATAAATCAGAAAATATTGTCAAATGACCATATGAACCATATGAAAAATGATGTATGAACAAATCCCTCTGTAAAAACCTTCAAAATGTAAGTGGGAATAAAGCTGTAAAGGTTTTGTGCATCTAATGCTAGTAAAGTGGAGAAAGCAGCTTTTAAATTGAAATTTACAGACGCAAATAGATAGTGCAACAAGATAAAAATTTATTTTGGATGTTTTCTTTCCATTGAAGAAAAAGGCAAATTGCCCAAAATCTCAAAATTGACCAGTGCATGAAAAAGCAGTGTTTTTGCCTGCAGTGTCTTGCATTACACAGCTGTTTTCACTATTATTAGCTCTTTATTATAGAAGCAGCTCAGACTCCTCTAAGTGAGCAACAGAAAGGGTTCATGTTGACCGGTTTTGAGTGAAATAGTTCAAGGTGATCTCTTTGGTAAAATCTTTGTTGTCCTGCATCATGTATTGCAACCATCATTTATGCAAACTCGTTTTTTTTTCTCTTCAGTAAGCTAATTTCATTTCATTAGCATCAACCTAACTCATTCTTTGCGATATTTGTTGGCCTTCATAGTGGAACGCTTCATGCATAGTATCAGCCAGAACTGCCCAGCTGTTCCTTTGAGCACAACTCATTATCATATTAGATGAGTCTGCAGTCCCTAAAGCCATTCTCTGTTCGGCACTGAAACGCAATGCTGACCTGCTACAAAGACCCTGATTGCTGAATCAGTGCTAAAACACAGAAGCTCACACAGAGCTCCCAACCTGTGAATACACTCACACCCATCAGTATAATCATTCGCAGCTGCAGAAGACCAGAATTACATCCGTGCCTTTGTTTTTTCAATGCCACCATAACTTCAGAGCACGTTTCCTCCAGATCAGCCTCAATTATCCCTGCGAAGGTCGAGTTACAAGAGAAGAGCGGGTTAAGGCCGCTAGCGTTATGTGCTTGTTAAGTTCTCATGGGGTGGATTTGTAAATACGAGCCCACGTAGAGGCCTCTACACCGTCGTAATCTGGCTCCCATGAATAGGCCGCCATTGACTTCTGCATCAGCATTATAATAGCATGCATAGAGGGCACATGTGATCTCGTATCCCGGTTGACCTCTTTGTTCACACCAGCTCGCACAAAGGAAATTCCGATCATTGACGCTCGCCCCATCTGGTTTTTGAAGAAAACGGCGTGGCTCTGCTGAAACTGCCTCGATTGTGCTAGACGAAGTTCATTGTGTGTTGCTGAAAGTCGATACCTGAGAAAGTTGCTCCTCTTTTGTCCCAAGGTCTTCATGCAGGGAAACAGAAAAGAGGCTGGCCCTGCAAAGTATGCAAAAGTTACTGCATCCAGATCGACATTTAATTTCCTCTAGGAATCCCGGCGGACTGAGAGGATTACCTCGGTTTTGAATGACTCACTGGAATGTTCTATCCATAATTACCTCTTGTGCCGTAGATGCTTGTTGTACACATTCCGCATGGAACCTGTAACAGTCTTGACTCGTTCCGTTTAAAAAAGTTATGCTAGGCCTAAAATAAGACGCCGGGTCTAAAATGCACTTTAATGCACTTTTAATGCAAAACGTCTGGATTGGGGTTTGTATCTACGTTGCAGAGGCTTATTTGAATGTTCCCCTTCCGAAGCTTTGAACCTGTCTAACTTTGAACTTCCAATCCACAACCTGAAGAGAGAGAGCAAAGACGCCGTCAGGGCTCAGGGCTTCAAACTTTTAATCTTCTTCCGGCTCAAGTAAAATGAGAAATCCTTGTTTGTACATAAGCTTCACGGTGGATGATGATGATTCAAACTGTTCCACGCGTTTAGATGAGGTCTGCCGTTTCCCAGTCAACAGTCGCAGAATTGCATATTACAGTTATTGTGAAGCCAAACAGCAGGCTCTCCTGCAATAAAGTTGTATAGGTTTGCACATGCTCATGTCCTGAAAAAAGTTAAATTTGGCCCAGAGTAAATTTTTTGTTCATATTTTGCTTGTATGATTCATGTTTTCCTTTCTGCTAAATAATAATAAGTGTTTTTAGAATGTATTCTATGTGTTTTGAACAGAACTTATTCTTATTTATTCTTATTCTGAATGATTAAGAAATGAAGAGACACACATTAAGTTTAGGGCTATTTAAATGAATTAAATATTTAATTATGTAGGCCTGAGAATTGGGGCTTATGATAACTGTGAGTAGTTCTCATTAGAAAGTAATAGGGATTATAGTTGTGTTTACAGTTATGCTTATGATGAAATTGTTTTTATAGAATTAAAAAAACATCATGGAGATTTATGTTGCTTTCACCAAGCACACCTTATTTTTTCTCACATATATGTGACCCTGGACCACAAAACCAGCCATAAGGGTCAATTTTTATTTTTTAATTGAGATTTGTACATCATCTGAAAGCGGAATAAAATAGATTTCCATTGATGTATGGTTTGTTAGGATAGTACAATATTTGGCTGAGATACAACTATTTGAAAATCTGGAATCTGAGGGTGCAAAAAATCTAAATATTGAGAAAATCGCCTTTAAAGTTGTCCAAATGAAGTTCTTAGCTATGCATGTTACTAATCAAAAATTATGTTTTGATATATTTATGGTAGGAAATTTACTAAATATCTTCATGGAACATGATCTTTACTTAATATCCTAATGATTTTTGGCATAAAAGAAAAATCGATTATTTTGACCCATACAATGTTTTTTTTGGCTATTGCTACAAATATACCCCAGCGACTTAAGACTTTGTGGTCCAGGGTCACATATAAAGTATACTTTAAGATTATACTTCAATTTGCATCTGGTTCATTTTCTTCATCGCAAAAGTACATTTAATTAAGCTAACCACATTATCGTTCAAAAGTCTGAGAATAGTAGGTAATATATAAAATTGCTACAAAACAATAAAAATTTTAATCCAAAAGTTGGGTTAGTCCATATTTGACCCAAAACTGGGTTGAAACAGCCCAGCATTTTTAGAGTGTAGGAGGCTTCTTTCAAACACTATAAAAAAAACTTATGACCTCAAACTTTTGAACGGCAGTGTGTAAAAATCTTTTTGAAAATTGGATTTTCAGTGTTGATGCTCTCAGACGCTTTGTTACAGGCAGCTAATTGATTGAAGAGCAGGTACTTCAGTCATTGTGTGCTATACTTCAAGAAGGTAATGAGCTGCCATTCTTTTAAAACCTCATCAACACCTCTTCACGCACTCTTCACTTCTAAACAGCTGCAGAAAGGAGCCAAGACAAATATTATGTTTAGGCGGTCGCTGTCCATTGCACTCAGCGCGCATCTTCCATCCGCCTATTGATCCCACCCCGTCTCCTGCGTTTGAACGTGACTTACATGAGTAACGTCGGACGGCGAGGCCTTCAAAGCATGACAGCACTCTCGCAAACGCTCAGGGATTAGGTTTTACAGGGCCAAAACACAAAATATGAAAAAAGTGGCGATTAAAGGCTTAATTTCTATTTCGGAAGAGTTGCAAGTTGCAGCAGTCAGCTTTGATTAAAGTTCCACCCCATTTGGCGGTTGGGCCTCTTACTCTAAGCTCCTTAGGGAAGCCATCTATCTTCTCACAGATATATGAGCCCAGCTCAGCAGACACCAACTCGCCCAATTCTGCTGCATTCAGTGAGCCATCAGTAGGCAGCTGGGGTCATTTTCAAAATGCTCCTAAAAGACAGTTTTCAAAGCCAAAAGAGCAAGTCAGCTGAAAAGGTGCTTGATATGAACTGGGCTTTCCTTCCACCTCAGCCTCTGCCAGATTTCCCTACTGCGGCCTCATTGGCCTGGTTTGGTCCTTTAGCCCAAGGTGTTCAAAGGAGATAATGCGGGAGGCAATATGTCATGCTTATAAATTTAAGCACTATGGAAATACTCCTCAT